ACTTAATTCATAAGATTAAAACTGTGAGGAGACTCCCATTCCATCTACCAAACTGGCAAAGGAAATAAAATATCTAACTGATAAAACAACAGGCTGCAATATTTGTTGACAAAAGTGTAAAAAACAGAACTAGCCAAGGCAAATAAGCATAAGACCACAAACTTACATACTTTGGTTCCACATTTGAGGATTTAGCCAACAGAGACCGATTTGCCCATATGATAAGATAACTTTATAATGTATACATGCATGCATCATTAATATGATGACCAAACTCATGTTTACATGCACATATGCAAAAATAACAAAATTTCTAGGTAATCTCCACAGGACTGTGAACTTAGAAAAGTGCTCTCCTGACTGCTGATTCTGAGATGGGGGGTGGGGAGGTGAGAGACAGGGTCATCTATAATTGGTACTCATTGTTTCATGTTTCCTTTCAGGCCCTTGATCAGGAAGTGTTTAACATCAGAGCAAGTATTTCTAGATGTTAACAGCTGCTGTTTGAAAAGGATGCTAGAAATCCTGTCCTGCTCTGAGAAGGCAAACATTGGCATTGTTGGTGTTTAAGACTGGTCTAGAGATAGAATTACACATGAGCTGAAAAGCGGGACAAGCCGACAGACAAAATTACATCTGAGCTGGAAGGCCCAGATGACAAGTATTCTTTGGAAAAATAAATGTGGGGGGATATTTTTACAGGTATGTGCCCATGTATACCATGTGCACTCAGGTGCCCAAGGAGGCCAGCAAAGGGTGTTAGATCCGGCAAACTCCAGTTACAGGTGTCTGTGAGCCACCGGATATGCATGCTGGGAGCCGCCCCTGGGTCCTCTGTAAGAGCAGCACTGAACTACTGAGCGTTTTTTCTAGCCCTACAATAGTCCTTTTAATTCAGTTTGTGCCCTTCCTTTTTATTATGCATGAATATCCTGTTGAAATGATTTCAACAATTCTCATCAGTGCACTGCTTTTCCTCTTAAACATTCCCAAGCTGAATGAAAATATTTCCTGCTGACAGCTATGGCCAGAGCCATTTGACTCATTCACAGCTTCAAGGCTGGTCTGTTATGGGTTGACATGGTGCTTGTGAAGTCCCAGTTTCAATCCTAGTTGGACCTGTGAGCTCTGTGAAGACAAAAGTATAGTACTGTATGCACTTGTCTTCCCTTGCCTTAGCACTGTGAGAAGTCTCCTGCAGATCAGTGGGAGAGAGGGTAGGAAAGAATAAGAGAAAGCACTACAGAATGAACCGTCCTTTGTCTGCTGTCTTTATCCAGTGCTTTCCAACAAGAGAAGGAAATAAAATACATTAAAGACTAGTGCAATTAGGAGCCTGGCGAGATGGCTCAGTGGTTAAGAGCACCAGCTGTTCTTCAAGAGGACCTGGGTTCAATTCCCAGCACTTACACAGTAAATCACAACTGTCTGTAATTCCTTTTCTAGGGGATCTGACACCCTCCTGTAGATATGTGAGCAGTCAAACACCAATGTACATTATAAAAAGAAAGAATCAGTATTAAATTTGAGCTAAAGAGATGGCTCAGAGGTTAGTTCAGTTCCCAGAAACCACATGGTGGCTCCCAACCATCTATGAGATCTGATGCCCTCTTCTGGCATACACCTTACAAGCAGACATTATAAATAAAATAAATTGTATATAATAGATAAATAAATAGTTTTTTAAAAAGACTAGCACAGACCTCTATATATGGTTTTACATATATGTGGTGCCAATTCACTGCTGGCCTGCATTCTATTTGGTTTTATTTTTTGATGGTGTATGAATCAAACCCAGGGCCTTACATCTACCACCTGTTCTACCATACCATAACCCATGCATCTTATTCTGTTTTGAAAATCAACAAATTTCTTTAAAAAAAAACAAAAGCTTTTTATTATAATTAGGAGACTATAGAATGATTAGCCCTAAAGGGAGCTTGTGTACTGCACCCCCTTCCCAAGACTCAGGGATCATTGTGGAAAAAGGAGCAAAAAAAGAGTCTAAGTGCCAGAGGCTACGAGGAACCATTGTCTTTCAGACACAGCACACTGTGACAGCATGTGTGTAAGCCCAAGGCAGACCACATCCCAGCAGGAAGAGGGAGGTCAGGCCTGCGATCCCACCAGAAGCCATGAAGCTATTGGCAATTACTGGTTTCGGGGAGAGGGTGAGACGGTCCCCTCCAAGAGTGCAGCCCTTGATAAACTGACCACTTTCCAGTGGGTGATCACACATCCAAGAGTACCTGGGCAGCCAAAGTGATCTTGAACATTTTTACAAAAGGGAAGGGGGGTGTGAATCAAGGAAGACTTGGGGAGACTAGGCGTGATTAAAACTCATATTGTTTGAAGCCATGGGGATATTGAGAAGCAAACACAAGCCATCAGTTTTGGCGGCAAAGCCTTTTTCTGTGCCACCTCCAAGCCCAACAACTTTCATTAAGTATTAACACATAGTAATCCCATAAGCTAATGGATCTCGCTGTGGCACTTCTGAACACACACATAGCATGCTCCAACCACACCTGTCTTCTGCCATCTCTTGCCCTCCTGCTTCCCTGATTAGAAACATTTTATTTGACATAATGATGCAAGCTAGAAAAGTGCACCTGACAGAAATGTACATTAATGTTCCGTTAAAGTTTTAAAGCATCCACTGCAAACCCACAATGGTGCACTGGTTCAGGTTCAGGCGATTAAACTCCTGTTGCTAAGAAACGGGAAAAGAAAAAAAAAAGAGCAAGATGCAGCTGAGATATGGATGAAGGGAATGATAGCCTCAGTTCAAAATATGAATTAGAGGCCAAAAAAAATGTAAGCCAGAATTGTTTTACATGGAAAAAATCCTGCTGGTAACCCCTATCTATGGAATAGGATTCTTCTCCCAGTGTTCGCTTTTCAGTTTGGACTGCTAACATTTACAGTGATAAGTTGATTTCTTTGGCAGGCAATTTGGTGACTCAGTGTAATCTAAAATCATTTGCAGTATTTAGCACAAAGTAGAATTTTTTTTAGAACACTTTTTACTGGCTCTTTGTGAATTTCACATCATGCACCCCAATCCCACTCATCCCCCTCTCCCCTCGGACCACCCTCCACCCTTGCAACCCTCCCCAACAGAGAAAAAACAATCTCTTTTCTGAAGCTGTAGTGTGTCACAGTGTGCCCCCAGCCTACCCTTTCATCCACACGTCCACACTTCTTTGCTTGCAAATGTTCATTGCAATGAATGGTTGGTCTGGTAGGAGGCCTCTGGCTTCTGCTACTCTGTCAATACTGGAACCTCACTGGGATCCTCTTGGATTATCTGTTGTTGGGAGTCCCACCAGGGGTTTGATAATAAAGGCATGGAGATATCTGTAGAGTATAGGGCCCTCAGCCTGTTTCTGGGGCAGACCCTCAGCTACACATCTAGACTCCTTTTCTGCCCTGCTCTTGTTCTGCTTCAGGCCAGTTCCAGCTACCAGCTAGCAGCTCTTGATTTATCAAAAGCCACACTCCTTTCTCCTACAAAACCTCTATTAGCATAGTGGGTGAGGTTCCTCAGTTTACTCACTCTGAACCAATCAGCAGCAGGACCACACCCCATCCATCTCTTAACGCCACCTTTTGGTCAGATTGAGGGCTATGTGACCTCCCCCGACGGCAGCTGGCTTTTAACTTGAGACTCTCAGAGAAGCACCTTTTTGGGCAGGAAGCAACATTTACATAGAGAAAGCAGGTCTTGTGGGCTATAGGAATGACCATATATCCTGCCAGCACCTGGTGCTACCAACACAACAATTAACAATAGAGTATACAGGGGCACACCTTCATAGCTAGTTGATACAATATGTGTGGGGGCAGGGCACCCCAACGTCGGCTCTTTCACATATTCTAGCAGTTCATCAATGGGGTAGATGTTGGGGTGGGCCAAATCTAAGCCCTGGACCTGGGCCTGAGAGGTATCTGAGCTGGTCAGCCTGCCGCTTTCCCTCCCTCATACCACCACACCACCAGGATGAGCTCTCTTGCCCTGTCCTGGCTGGCCAATCCAATGCCACTGCCAGCAAGGGGAAGAGCCAGCTCTCGGGCTCTCATGCCTCAGGGTTGGCTCATCTGCTCTCACACTATCAGGGCTAGCTCTACTGTGCTGCCCAGGCAAGGTGCAGGGCCAGCTCTCCCACCTACCATAGGTAGAGAAGAGAGAAAGGAGGAGGGTATCCTTTCCTGGCAGTACCACTGCACAGCTGACAAGATTCAAGGCAGGCTTTCCTACATTCACAGCCTCGAGGCTGGCACACCCGCAAATCCCGAAACCAGAGCCAGCTCCACTGTGATTCCTGGGCGAGGTACAGGCCAGCTTTTCAGAGTACTGCAAACGGCTAGAAGCAGGGTCATCTCTCTTGTGCTCTCATGTCGCCAGGGCCAGCTCTACAACAATGCCCGGGGTGGGACCTGTTCTTCACAACCCTCAGACATCAACACATGTCAGGGCAGCAGCCCAGACCTCAGCCTGGACTTTGGTAGTAATAGACCCCTGCTGCTTCAGGGCCACTGACCCAGACATGGCCCCTGGTGGCAGCACAGGCTACTCACATCAGGCTGTCCCTCACTACCCTCAAGCCTCCTGGTCTGCCTCTCTTCATTTTGCCTGCATCCTTCTGTTTCTCTCCCATTTCAGCAAGTGGGGTCTCAGGAGTGGTCTTAGGAGTGCTATGTCCTGCTCATGCATTATGGCACCAGGTAGGGGTCATCTCAGGCATGGTCTGCCTCCCCAGGCCTGCACTGCAATGGACAGATGCTCATCTTTGGCTAACTCCTCGCTTGGAGTCGTCTGTCCTGGGCCCGCACACAGTCTCAGGTGGGGTTCTTCTAGTCTCCGGCTCACTCCCGGCTCTGGGAGCCCACCCAGGCTTGCATGGTGCTGGACTGGTGGTCCTCGCAGGCTTGGGCTCCCTGGCACTGAACTCCCTGGCGCTGAACTGGTGGTCACCTCAGACTCGCTTTCGTCAGGGAGCGCCAGGCTACTAATCATTCAGCTGTTCACATGTCCCGACACTGAACTTAGACATGGCCTCTCTCCTGTCACCCACTGACTCGCATGTGTGACACACAGCAGCCACACCTGCAACACCTCTAGGGGCAGGACAAGGTAGAATTTTTAAAAGGCATTTTTAAAAGGAGCACGATGCCCCAGTCTTTAGGGAAGTGCTGTGGAGGAAAAGAAGGCTTAGGAGTCCATCAGACACGGTATGCCTTACAAAGACACGCCCTTGGGCAAGCCTGCTTAAGCTTCTGAGCCTGTCCACTCCTCAGTGCGCCCAGGAGGAAACGGTGATGATTAAACAATGAAGATCCTGCCACACCAGGCAGCGAAAGAAGCACAAATGAACATTACACATACTAGGCTTATTTTGTTCCTTTGCTATTTCTCACGTCATTCGTTTGTTGTAATACAGAGACCTACACCAAAGTAAACACAAGCGTAATGGACCTCCCTCTTACCTCTCCCTTATCTCCCTCAACTATGTGCTTTCACACAGAAGAGGCTCCTCGGAGTCTTTTTGTTTTGTTTCCTCAAGACAGGGTTTCTCTGTGTAACAAGCGTTGGCTGTCCTGGATTTGGTTTGTAGACCAGGCTGGCCTCTGCCTCCCCGAGTGCTGGGATTACAGGCGTGTGCTGCTGCATCTGGCTGTGCTGGGGCACCGTAAAGGAAGTCCTAGGTAACCTATGACTGCCACTCGGCAGTCAAGACACCATGGTGGAGATACCTGCAGGGCAGGAGCCCACCTGGTTCCTGGTTAAGAGACGGCTCTGCCACTGACAGTGACCAAATACAGTCAAGGAAAAGTGTTACCCAAAGCGCTACAGTGTAGGCACTGTGAATGCATAGAAGGGAAGCCAGAGTAATGACATGACCAGGTACTTCCGTGGAGTCTCCTCCTGGTCACTACTGTGAGTTCTGCCAGAGCCAAACCTCTTCAGTTAACACACTGGCTTTTAGAAAAACGTAAGGGTCCACTTTAAAAAGAAAAAAAAATCTTATATTAACCTAATGGTGTGACGAGCTTTACCCACAAGGCCTATCCTTGAGGAGTCTGCAGTTTACAGTATCCCTTAACAGGAACAGTAGAAGTCTTGTCAGAAATGAGGTACAGAAAAAGATGGCGACAAACATACTTAAATGAGGAAATAGAGAGCTGGGTAGGCTGAAGAGACAAAAGAGCAGAAAGCATTTAGTCAGGAGAGTATTAGGGAAAAAAGGGGACCTTAAATATTGTGTCTAAATTCTACCTGAGGACAGAGAAAAGTCAATGTCTACACCAGCACAGGTTCTTTCATGAATGTAGCTTCTTTATAAAGAGAGTGGTTGCCCCTGCCCCTCCCCACATAGACACGCGCACACACACACACATGCCTCACCAGCATGGAGAGCCAGCATGCCCATGGACAGAACAGTATGGGGATGGGTGGGAGGTGAAAAGGGACATAAATGAAGGTGGAATTATCAAGTCAACCTAATTAACCTTGACCGAAAGGGATCTTTTGCTTTCAGTGAAGGGTGAAGGGGAAAGGAAGGAGGCAATGAGCAGAGATTGAGGTTTGGAAAGAATCTAAGGAGACAACATCCTAACTCAGTCACATCCCCTGTGGGGAACAAAAACCTCAGGAGCCAGACTAGGCATTAGGAGAGGAAAAGGCCAACCCTAACATCTAGGCCGCCCTCAGTCTACTCTTTTAAAAACAAAAGAATACACTTTGCCCTGTCCCTATTGTAGCTGAGATACAAGCACCATCTTTGCTTTGTGATAAACATCCCCAAAGAGCCGCTCTCCCAAGCTCACTGGGACACCAGCCATCTGCTGTGAACCTAGCAAACCAAAAAGTCATACTCAATAGCTGGACTAACATATTTCGCATAGGAGGTGCCTATGTTACATACCAAAGCAGACCTGGCCTCCAGGTTCTCCTGGCATCCCTGTAGCAGGGCACAGATGGCACAACTCACCCTCTACCCTGAACTTTCTAGCCCAAGGACTAGGTTTTCCTATATAATCCAGATATGTTGGTTTCCCCCTCTCTCTGCTTTTCCTCTCTCCTCTCCTATCTGCACTTACCCCCTCCTTTTGTTTTTCTGTCTCCCTCTGTGTGGTGACTTATGAACCTGCCTGAGAGCTGCCCCCAATAAAACTGCATTTATATACTATAATTAGCTCATTTCTCCAGCGGGAACATGACCATCAGTTTTATGTATTTGCTTGAGACAGGGTCTCAGTGTACGTATCTGACTGTCTCATAACTCACGTAGACTAGGCTGGACTTTAACTCTTAGTGATCCTCTTGTCCCCTGCCTCCCAAGTACTGGGAGTAAAGACATGTGCCATTATGCCCATATTTGTCAGGGTAATTTTTTTTTTTAAACCACAGCAACTGGAAAGAAAACTAAGACATTTCCTCAGCTCTGAAGCAGCACTGGAATCTGTGAATGTCTTCTGAAGTTCTCCCCTCTCTTGAATCCATGGCACATCACTTCCTGCTCTGTACCCAAGACTCCGTTTCCTCTCTAGCCAGAACTTTCCTCTCCACCCAGGCTCAGTATAGTCTAAGGGCCTGCCAAGGATGGATGCAATGCCACCATCCCTGTTCTCTTCAGGCATGGCTATGTGTTTTTCTCTATATTCACAGTTTCCAACCCAGTGGTCACTATCTATAAGTCAGATTAATTAGAAATAGGAGCTAGAGAGACGACTCACAGGTCGAAAGCACATCTGTTTTTCCAGAGGATCTTAGTTCAATTACCACACTCACCCCAGGCAGCTTACAACTCTAGCTCCAGGGCAACCGATGCCCTCTCCTGGCCTCCACAGGCACTGCACTCATGTGCACAAACCCACACACAGACGTGTAAATTCACACAGTATAAAAAACAATAAGACAACATACTTTTTAAATTAGCATAAACAAAAGTCGAAATACAACTCCTGTTGGGGTCCAGAAGACGCTGGAAGAACCACCCCAAACTCAAGGAGCATGCAAACAACAAAAGGGTGTTTATTCTGCAGAAGTCCAGCATGCTGGGGCTACCACCCTCACACCAGGGCATCGGCCCCAAGGGAAACTGAATGCCCCCTTTAGAACGAGAGAGGGGAATTTCTACTGTGGCTGTTTAACCTCGATTGGGGTTGGCTGGTGCCCATGAAAGCTACGTGACTCTGATCAGGGGTTAGAGACTTCTCAGATCAGTATCTAAGCAACCTTATCTTCCCCAGGCCTGATTCGTCTCGGCTGTTTCTGGTTGGTTACCCTTTTTTCTGTGTGTGTGTGTGTGTGTGTGTTTTTCCTCCCTGCAACTCTTAGGCCTGTTCTGTCTGGCAAGAAAATGAATATTTAACCAGGCCCTCTCACTTCTCAGCCTAATTTAGCCACATTTCAAGGAACTATACAACCACAAGTGGCCAGTGAGTACCATACATGCAGGAGAAAGTGTCAAACATTCCTTTCTTCATCAAAAGTTCCAGTGAGCAGCACATGTCCAGCTCTTGCCGAAGCTGCAGTGTGGCAGGGGCCCAATCCTTAGCCCAGCTGAAAACACGACGGAAGTGCCGTTCAAGCTGTGAGACTCAGTACATACATAAAGACCTGATCCATCGAAGTCCACAGTTCTAAGAAAGTCCTACATGTACTCACCTGGCTTTTTGCCTTCCGTAGTTCTGCTTCTGGCTAACTGTTCTCGTTAACTGAAGTACGTCAACCAGAATATGGCTTCTGTGGTTAAAGGTTCACTCTTAGAAAGGCTGCACTGAGATCCCACATACACAGTGTAGTTGCAGGCCATCCAATAAAGGCTCTTTACTGGCCAGCCTTCTCTAGTGGATACCCCGCAACAGCAAATGTGTACTTGATGTCTCCCCTAGAGTCTGTTAGGCTCCCAATCTGTTTAATACGTTCCTTCCAACAACCTGCACGCACCCTGATTTTACTTAAAATTGACTCCATACAGCAAATGCACATAGACAGCAAATAACTGGGGGGAAGGGTGTTTACATAGATAATTGGATATTTGGGCAGCGTTAGTTCACTGGGCTGGCTGAGATCACTTTCACTGATAGAAAGGCAGGTCACAAAAGGAAGGAGGTGGCTCCATCTTTAGCTGAGTCTCCCTACAGAGTACTTTTTCTTGTCCAGATCCCACCAAATGCCAACAATATTTTGAGGGAGATTTTCCTTATCAACATATTTTCCCCCACACTTCACAATAGGGCCAAAGTTCTGTCCTGTGCTGCTAGTGAATATACTGTCCTCACTGCAGACTCTGATTCTATTAGGAACCCAAACATATTCTGCCTCAGACAGTGAAAATCAGACAGTAGATAGTTTTGTCAAAAATTTGGACAATACTGCCACGAGATTCTGAGGTATTGTAGCCAACAAAAGGTCACATCTGCTCTTGATTTTAGTCAGAAAGCAGCCTGCCTTTCTGCCTCCTGAACTTAGCAAAGACATGCCAGTCCCAGCACCCTGATCATGTCAGTCATGTCATCGGTGTGAAATTTCATTGGATGCCTTACTCAAGGTGACCTCAGACTGAGATTCGAAAGATGAAGCAGATTAAGAGCAGGTGAGTCACTGAGTTAAAAAGCCAGGAAGGGTAACTGAAATCCAGCACTTCAGAAGCACAGAGCTTCTATAGGAGGCCACGCTTCGTGACAAATGGACCTCATTTAGGCGAAGAAAAGCTATGGCCAAAGAGAAAGGTGGTAAATTGCACCCCCCAGAGATGAGCCTGTTGTGCCCGGCTGTGCTAAGTGATTTGGTCTGAGTTGATTAACCTCGTGTTCAGCGGACTATGACAGCTCTTTTTAAAGATATGAAGGTGTGGAGGAGAAATGGATCAACAGTCAATAGTGCATAATGCTGCAGGGGACCTGAACTAATTTCTCAGCATCTCATGGCATAAGGCAGCTCACAACGGCCTGTCACTCCAGCTCCATGGGATACAAGGCCTCAGGCACCTGTGCTCATCTGCTTGCACGTGAACGCATACACCTAATTAAAGACTGTCCCCCTCCAAAGAAAGATGATCAGGACCAACAGCAAAACAACCAGCCGAGCAAACAAACAAAACAACCCCAAACAACCCTGGAG